TAAGGCTATGTGTTCCAGAATTTATGGATATCCCTGCCACGCCTGGGTGGTTACCTACAAGAAACAAACTTTAATTTTTTAGAGTATAAAAATAAAACTGACCCGGTGTATTATTACTCGAGTCAACTGCACGTGTCTCTGCGTTTTTCTTTGTGTTCTGTGTTTGTGTTTTATGTTCTGTGTTCATCCTCCATCCTGTAAATGGGCCACGACAGACAACTAAACATATATAGAAAAAAATAGCCGGGCAAGGTGGTGCATGCCTGTAGTCCCAGCCACTTGGGAGGCTGAGGCAAGAGGATTGCCTGAGCCCAGAAGTTTGAGGTTGCTGTGAGCTAAGTTGACACCACAGCACTCTAGCCAGAGCAAGAGAGGGAGATTCTGTCTCAAAAAAAAGCAAACAAAAATAAACCACTTGCATGCACCTGAAAAAAACTTACATGAGAAAACCAGGAAAATAAATAAATAAATTTATTTAATAACAGCAAAAAGTGAACAACTTTTTTAAAAAAAAAATTCTCCTTAGCAGAGCTACTTCTTTTGTTGTTCAGAACAAGACATACAGACACTTCTTCACGGTCACTACACAGTTCACAAAATAATCTGTAATCCTGGGAAGCACTGCCCATGTCACCAGGAGCAGTAACAGCACCACTGCGGTGTGTGACCTTTCCCGTGACCTTGGCGCCCGTGTGGAGCATGAGACAAGCAATTGCTGAAGCACCTTCACCTTCCCAGCGTCCCACAGCCCCGCGCCTGCGCCTGCGCCTGCGCCTGCGCCTGCGCCTGCGCCTGCGCCTGCGCCTGCGCCTGCGCACTGACTCGTGCAGCCCCTGCTCCTTCTGCTGCCGAGGGGAAGGCTCTGGGAAACGACCTGCTTTCTAGGAATGTTAATTAAGGGTTTCGTGTAAGGAAGTTTATTCATATCCACTGTCAGTAACTTTGAAAATAACATTTGCTCTGTGACTCTTCATTTCTTATAAACTTAATAGATGCAAACAGGAAATCATCATCACCTGAGACGTGTCTGTACTCATAATGAAAATTTACTGGACTGCGGTGCATGATGAAGTTGTATTTGAACTCTTACCCCACCTCAAAATTCTTCTCTAACATGCAAATTACTTGGTGAAAAAGAAAAATACTTTTCTTGAATTTCTTTTCACTTTTGTATTAATAGTTACTCATACAGCTAATAAGATAATCTTCTCTAGTACTGTGTAGTTTGCCATATTTTACTTTAATTTTTACATTGGTTTTATCTAAGAAACAGTGATAAATTTTCCTTCTGATGCAAAAATGCCATCAGTATTTCAGTTACATTATTACTCTTTTCCAATCATTTCCTTATGTCTTGGAGGTACAATATGTACTTGACATCTTGGTATATTCTTTTGGAAAATACTTGCCTAATTTATGTTTCTACTCTGTTTTGGCAGAAGAAATATTGGGATAAAATCAATATTAAATATCTAACTGAACATTGTTTGGCACTTTAGCCTTATAGGTAACATTTTTGAGTAAGTGCTCAGTCTGCATGTGTATGTGTAAAATCACTGTAAACAGGACAGCTACAAATGCAGCTTGATAAAATGTGTTTACTAATGACTCAAATACCAGCAATAAAATTCCTGATGGCAGCACACTTTTCCAAAGTAATGAACAACTCTCAGTAAAGTGCCAAACAAAGCACCATGTACTTTCTCCTTAATTTATATGGTAGATCCATTTGTGGAAAGTCAATGCGTAGCACCATCACATAAAAGCATCGTACTTAGCAGTAAACTCAGGGTAGACTCTTCATTTTCACTGAAACATCCAAGAGGAATCTGGGACACAGCACGGTTTTCTAGGGTATAGAAAGGTGTATTCTAGATTTGAAGGATTCTAGATGTGGTAGGTTGACTAGATCCCAGTCCTTGTTCTCTAAATGCCCAGTAAATTTCCAGACTTCCCCCCAGAGGTGGAATGGCCTCCAGTGGGAACCACTGGTATCACACAATGCTCTTAGCAGCACCGGAACAATAGTGTCTCAACTGAAATAAAAGGAAACTGAGGCTCAGAATGAAAACCTGATGCCCTGTCACAGTTAGCCGGCTACTACGTGCGAGAGCCGGGATGGAAATTCGGGTCTGTGTGTGTCAGGGCCCAGCCCTTCCACGAGGCCATGCTGGTGCCAGTCTCACTTGACTGAGTGAATAGATGAATCAAAAAGTAATAACTGAATGAACGACTCATATTTGAACTCACGGGTCTTCTGCAGCCCCAACCTCCCCTTGCAGGGAAGAAAACTGAGGCCTGCACAGACTATTTGACTTTGCACTATGGGAGGACTTGTCTACACTCTGGCAATTTCACATTCCGAGGACCCAGCATGTTCTCCCAGGTGGACATGAAGCCACTGGAGGCAAAACCATGGCTGCTTTCACTGCGTGGGTCTTGACTGCTTCCTTGTATTTTGTGAACTGATAATGAATTGCAGTCATATTGCAGAACTGGGCTTTTTATTGGTTGTAAGGTTTGGAAAATTAAACAGGTTGAATTAATTTTGCTAGTTTGTGACCTTTTCCTGTTGAACAACTGCATTACTTCTATCAAACACAGTTTATCCTCAAACACTTTCACTATTGAAATGATACAGCTAAAAGTATAAATTAAATGAGTTTGATAGACAAATTGGGCAACTCAACACAAAACACCTAATTAACTCTGCAAAGTGATAAAATAACTGACAATAAGGTTTCATGCATAATGTGAGGAAATGACTTCACTGCATTTGAAACGAGCTAATTTTCAGAGACACATTTTGAAAGCAGTTTCTAATTGATAATGTATAAAAAATTATGATCACTAATTACTATTATTGCCCCATTTAGGAGAAAGCACCAAGCACTACATATTCTGCATATCTGTCTTATGTAATCCTTGTGAAGCACAAATATTTTTTCAATTTTACATCTGACAAAAGGGAGGCTGAGAAAGTAAAATAAATTGCAGGATCCAGAATCACAAACCCAGTAATGTCAGATGCAATAATCCCACCCAGGTATGTCTTGCTCCAAAGGCGACATCTTAAACTTACCCTGTCCTGTTTATCCATGGAATGTGCCCAGTGCACCCCACCATGTGTATTCAGTGCTAGCTAAGGAGGTTGGTTATGAGAAGCATTATGCATTTATGTAGCCCAAAAGTCCTGCATTAACCATGACTCTCAAACAAAGCTACACTAGGCCTTATTAGTTCTAATTTTATTGAGGCAACCATGCACATAATTTTAAAAAAATACTAATAAAGATTCCAAATGGGAATCTTCTCATCTCTGCTTTTACTGAGGCATGAAGACAATAGATGAGTCCTTTCAAAAGTAAGGCCAAGATGAAAGAGTTGCAAAATTGGTGTGCTAGGAACCTCCCTTCTCACTGACCTTATCACTTGCACCCTTTAAAGAGGCTGGGCTGTGATTTCCCCTCTTCCCAGGCCAGGTACACTGCAGGGCTTGCCTCTCCCTTCTAGCTGAATGATTTCTTGCAGTTGGTGCCTGACAGCATGTTACAAGTGCTGCAGGAAAGAAGCTGACAGCCAGGATGCCACATGCAGGAAATATTTAACTCAAGGATAAGTCATGAGGTGGAACAGCTCACACAGGAAGTAATTCAAAAATATGTTACTGCCTTAGTCTGTTCAGGCTGCTATAGCAAAATGCCTGAAACTGGGCAGGCATCTTCCATTCAGTCTTCAAAATTCAACCAGAGGTCATCTCCCCCAGGAAGTCTTCCCTGATGAACCTTCCCACTGAGAGTGAAATCACTTCCTGCAGTGTTTTCAGTTCATGCATGCCACATGGTAGCGTAGTGACACTTCCTTACTGGAGCTTCCTGAAAGCACAGCTATCATCTTGTCACTGTGCCCCAGCGTCAGCAGAAAGCCTGAGGAAGCAGATGCTCAGGGAGTGTTCTCCTACTGGAACAGATTAATGATCAACCAGCCACTGGGATTCTGACAGCCCAACATGAGACAAAGTCTTTCAAATAAAATGCTCAAGAAGAGCTGCCTGGCCCTGCATTTTTGTTTGAGGATTCTGCCCTTTGCCTTGGAGAATGGCTCTGTATAGTCAGAGAAGGACTGGGAACAAAGGCCTTCGGGTTTCTTACTTTGTCACTCAGTGTCCATTCTTTTCCTGAGGTAGCAATCCTTAAACTTTACTTTAGGGAAAGCAACTCTAGGTCCCTGGGCTACAGATGAAGCTGACTCCACCCCAGACTTTTCCCAGCGACTCTGGCCACCGACAGGTTGGGAGATGCCCAGAGCCAGCACACACAGATCAAGGAGACAAGCCCGGGCTTGGGCTTGGGCTTGAGCAGAGCCGTGTGCAGGAAGAAGTCAAGTCCGCCCATGCTGAGCTTGGATGTGGAACTCACACACAGGAGGCAGAACTACGAGATGGACCCTGACCCCAAGGCCAGGGTTTTTTAGGTGTATGAGCTAACTGATGCACTTTTTCTTTTAAGCCTGTTTGGACTGGATTTTCTGCCACCTGCAACACAGAATCCTAACAGATTGCAGTAGTTAAAGACATGCCGGGTTGATCCCAGTACGTGCATAGAGACATGCATATACGTGAACATATAATTTAAGGCACAGATGACAACTGTCTTTTGTGCTCTATTATCTTTCAGGGAAGGTCAGGGGACAACAAAATCTATCCCCCTGCCCAGCTGCTGACATTGTTTTGCCCAAATAAAGAGCTACGTTGAATGGATGCACCAGGAAAACAGGGTGAGAAGTGGAGGCGGGAATGGTTTGGTTCCTTCCCTGTGAACAGAAATGGTCCCAAGGACTGCGGAGACGGAAAGGACGTTACCCACAGAGCAAGAGGCTGCTCGCCGGTCCCTGTGCATCTGGACGGGCCAGATGGTGCAGGTGACACCTGCGAGGCACAGGAGCGTGCACAGAGGATCGGCGAAAATCTGACCCTCAATAAAGTTGACTTTTCCAAGTAAGAAAGGTAAATTGATATTTTCTTTATAAATTGTTAATTTCTTTGACACACGCATCTGAAAGTTGCACATTCTTTAACAAGCGTTTCGTGAAGTTCCATCAGCTGCCATGCAGCAGCAGAAGCGGGAGAACAGGGACCTTCTTGCCCGCACTGGCGGGGACGCAGGGACAGAGTGGCGGGATGGGACAGGAGAGGCAGGGGGGCAGTCAGGTGGGGCAGGTTGCAGGTCCTGCGGCTGCCCGAGTGCCGAAGTGTCACTGGACGTGCCCCCAGCGAGGGGGACTTCACCCGGGGGGCTTCCGCTGGGAATCCTGGCTGACGGGGCTCGTCTTCCCTCCTGAGGGAAAGTCCTGTGGAGATCAGGAAATAAAAGACTCTCACAAACATGGAATAGAAAAATTCACAACCACAATATATCTGTCACACACAGCGGAGAAAATCAGGTATAATCAATCCAGATCCAAGGGGTATTTCACAGGACTTAGGAGTAACAGGTAAGTTAAGTGGGAAAGGGTAGCAACAGAACAGTATATAATGACACAAAGCCTCCTAGAGTTTAAGGGAACAGTACATATATATTTTTAAGGACAAGGTTAATGCAGGGAAATTCTAGGACAGAGAATGGCTGACTGAAACTTTTCTCCTTTGCTTCCCTCTCAAATTAATTAGACACAGGGAACTGTGCCAATATGAAAGAAATAAAGGACACACAGGCATACTTGATGAACAGGCCACTAAGACGTTTTGGAAGCACACAAATGGTATAAATACAAAATTCCAGATGCTGAAAGCAACGTGGGGAAGGGCAGGAATGTCTTACTCCCTTTGCAGTATGCAAAGGCACACAGACACAAACAGGTGACCAAGGACACCACGAGACAGGAGGTGCTTAAAGTAAGATCACAGTGAGGAAGGACACTCTGTGGGCGACTGTAACAAAGCTTGGACTATATAATGCGCAGCACAAAATGAAGCAGCAGTGGGCACATGTCCGTTTCACAAGGAACGTGCACTTGTCCTCACGCAGCCGTGCAGTGTCTCCTTCACTGCCTAGTGGAGGGAACGCGATGTTGGGGTGCCCAGAGGTTGCCGTGGACATCAACAGCCAGTGTCTCTTGTTGGTGCCACCTTTCTAACCACCTTTCAGCTGGCCCGTCCTCTCCACTACTACTGCCAGGGTCTCAGTGCGGAGCCTCAGGCCTCATCTTCATGGGGCTCCCTGCCTCTGCCCCCACCTCCAGCCTATCCACTCAACTGCCAAGAACATCCTAAAATATAAACAGGACCTTGCAGCTCATCTGCTCATAACCTGTCTACAGCACACTGAGTCTTCAGGATCAAGTTCAGACTCCTAACCTTAGCCTGCAGTCATACTTGGGCATCTGCAGTCTGGACCCTGCCATTTCTCCAGCCCTTGCCTTCTGTCATTCCTCCAGGAACCTGACTTTCTGGTCTTCCTGATGACATGCGATGCCTTGGTAAAGCACCAGGTCGGAAAACACTTGCAGGACCTATTCTCTATGCCTGAAGGGCTGGCATCTTCCATTCACTCTTCCAGATTCAAGGAGAGTGAATGAATATAATATATAGGTAGGAGAGAAGAAAGCAATAATCTGCTAAAGAACTGATCTGTGCTGGAAGGCAAACTTCTAATTGAAGACTCAGCCTTTTTGTTTGACTCTTGCTCCTTTGCCCCAGCTGGAGTGCGTAGCATCATCACTCACTGCAACTTCAAACTCCTGAGCCTTCTGCCTGAGCCCCCTGAATAGCAGGGACTACAGGCATGTGCCACCACACCTGGCTAATTTTTCTACTTTTGGTAGAGATGGGGTCTCACTCTTGCTCAGCCTGGTCTCAAACTCCTGGCCTCAAGCAACTGTCCTACCTTGGCCTCCCAAAGTGCTGGGATTACAGGCAGGAGGCACTGCACCTGGCTAACCACCCAGACTATTTTAACAAGAAACCTCTGTATCCCATTTCAATTTAAATATGTGAAATAAATGTAATTAGGAAGTAAGAGAAAAGGATCCATGCCTGCACCTTCACTGAGTTTTCCAAGGGACCACACGTGTAGTGGCTTGAAGGGCCTCCTCTGGTCACAGACCTGCCTCTGCCTGACACCTTTGCTGTAGGACAACAAACATGTTCCTTCACCTCTCTGAACCTCATCTTCAGTGTCTTCTAGGAAATTGGGAATATCTACTCCACAGGGTGGACTGTGGAGAGGTACTAAGTGTATGTATGCATATTGTACTATATTATCAATATAGTTATTTTACATAAAAAATGTGTGTATATATTACAAATAAGTGAGTATGAGTGCATCTAAATATCTATAGACATCTCTCTACCTTAGCATGTAGTAAGCATTCAAATAATAACAGCTGATTTTTTATCAATGATAGTCTTAAGATGACCAAAAATGGAGCACAGAGGAGAAAGTTTAATAAACTCAAAGATTTTAATGACGTGCAAGGTTTTACTTAAAGAGCCCATTATGGGACAAAGTGCATGGACACAAAGCTGCCTTTCTGAACTGAGGCAAACCTGGACACTCCTCTGTGCTTGGGCTCAGAGGGGAAACGCCTGTCGATATTCAGCAGGGGAGGAAGGGAACAGCCACCTCAGTGGTACCTGGCTCCACCTTCCACCACCCAAGTTTCAGAGGCAGATTTCATTTTAGCCCTATTTCCTGGGGAAGGAGCCAGGGGACAAGGAGGACTGGGACAGGCCATGGGTGACCCTGAGAGGAAGGATTTATTGCAGGGGGTCAACAGACTTTCTGGATTGAACTCACTGTCTCTCTCACCACACAAACCCAGCCCCCAAATCAGCAAGGCCCTTTAGACCATTCTGTTCTGCCGACCTCGAATGGCAGGTCCTAGTAAAGGGGATGGGGCTGAGGAGAGAACAAGGTGACTGAAACCTTCTGACTCGCCTGACCTCCAGTTAATGCTAATGGATATCGGGAGTCCTCCCGTGTCTACCATTTGATACCCTAACCATAAACAGATGACACTATTTCATGTGACTCGCCTAAGTCATAGATGATTAATCTGGAGAAGGTAAGGAGACTGAAAAGTGACACTTGGCTTACAGGTTAATAATGGCAAGAGCGTGACACTGAGCAGGGTGCTAACAGACCATGGGGAGCACAGACAAACAGAGGAGGGGACCTCTGATTGTTGCAGACCTGAGAGCACTCCTGTGCTGTCCTAAGACACAGGTGACAGACAAAAGGGCCCCACCAAGCAAGCCTGCAGGAAACCTCAGACAGACTAACCCACGCCAGCCTTCATTTCAAAGAATGCCTTCAGGGTAGTCATGAAACTGCAGGGCTCTTGGGTTTCTGGGACTTGTTCCTGGATAAAGATGCCTTTCGCTATTTGGTTACCCTTGAAAGTGGTATCCTTCTTTTCCCTCTGGAAGCAACCAATATTTCTGTTTGCATCATGTCTACTAGATGATGGAAATGAAGTCAGAATTACCTTCGAGGACCCCTTAGAGTTTCCAAGGCCACCAATGGCAGCCTAACTAAATAACACATGAAGCATTTTATACATAACTTGATATTATTTTTTCTTTCTTATGCCCTGGATGTCCTAAGATGATATTATTTAGCTTTTGAGAATAAACCAGGGGTTTTATCTTGAAAACTATACCTTTGAAGTAAGTTATCCTGCTCTCAAGATAACTTGGAGAACAATTTCAAGGTTTTGACTTTAAGAAACTTAGTGCTCATTAATGACTATGAAGCGAGCAAAGAAACACGTCCCTCTCCTTATGTCCACAGATGCTGGGATGGAGGCAGAGCCCGCCCTGCTGGCTGCTGTGGGCACCAGTCCTTCGCTTGCACCAGAACTAAAGTTCTGCTAAACTGCAGTGACCCTGCCCTGCGCACAGATAAAAGACTGAGGTCTGTAATTTCTATTTTAATGGTTTTAACATATAAAGTTAGATATATATATATATAAACCAGAAAAACATGAGCTTAAAGCAGAATGAAAAATATCTGGCAGTGGCTTCATGCAACAGCAACAGCAAAAAACATTTTCCTTAAGCTCTTTATGTTCACTCCAAAACTAGCATCACCTGACACTTACCTCTTTCTGAACCTTCCCAGCAATTTACGGAAAAATCCTGGGCTCTGGGTCGGGGGTGATGGTGTTGCGTGAAGCAGGTTGGGAGAGGCAGGAGGGCTGTGGTTTGGTTGCTCCCCTTGCTGACCATGGAAAGTGGTGTTGAGATCAAGGTCGCTAGGGACATCAGGGCCACCTGGGGTGGCCACAGCAGTGTGAACCTTTTCGGAAGGAGCTGGAGATCTTGGATTTGGAACAGTGATGCAGAGATCAGAAAATTAGAGACTCTTACAGACATGACATATAAAAACTACAATCACAATATACTTTTTACGCACAGTGGAGAAAATCAGGTATAATCAATCCACATCCAAGGGGTATTTCACAGAACTTAGGAGTAATAGGTAAGTTAAATGGGAAAGGGTAGCAACAGAACAGTATATAATGACACAAAGCCTCCTAGACTTTAAGGGAACAGTATATATATATATATATATATATATATATATATTAAGGATTGCAGTAGTTAAAGACATGCCGGGTTGATCCCAGTACGTGCATAGAGACATGCATATACGTGAACATATAATTTAAGGCACAGATGAGTACAACTGTCTTTTGTGCTCTATTATCTTCAGGGAGGTCAGGGGACAACAAAATCTATCCCCTGCCCAGCTGCTGACATTGTTTGCCCAAATAAAGAGCTACGTTGAATGGATGCACCAGGAAAACAGGGTGAGAGAGTGGAGGCGGGATGGTTTGGTTCCTTCCCTGTGAACAGAAATGTCCCAAGGACTGGCGGAGACGGAAAGGACGTTACCCACAGAGCAAGAGGCTGCTCGGCCGGTCCCTGCTGCATCTGGACGGGCCAGGATGGTGCCAGGTGACACCTGCGAGGCACAGGAGCGTGCACAGAGGATCGGCGAAAATCTGACCCTCAATAAAGTTGACTTTTCCAAGTAAGAAAGGTAAATTGATATTTTCTTATAAATTGTTAATTCCTTTATACACACGCATCTGAAAGTTGCACAATTCTTTAACAAGCGTTTCGTGAAGTTCCATCAGCTGCCATGCAGCAGCAGAAGCGGGAGAACAGGGACTTCTCCGCCGACTGGTGGGGACACAGGGACAGAGTGGCGGGATGGACAGGAGGGCAGGGGGCAGTCAGGTGGGGCAGGTTGCAGGTCCTGCGGCTGCCCGAGTGCCGAAGTGTCACTGGACGTGCCCTCAGCGGAGGGGACTTCACCCGGGGGGCTTCCGCTGGGAATCCTGGCTGACAGGGCTCGTCTTCCCTCCTGGGAAGGGAAAGTCCTGTGGAGATCAGGAAATAAAAGACTCTCAAAACATGGAATAGAAAAATTCACAACCAAATATATCTGTCACACACAGCGGAAGAAAATCAGGGGTATAATCAATCCAGATCAAGGGGTATTTCACAGGACTTAGGAGGTAACAGGTAAGTTAAGTGGGAAAGGGTAGCCAACAGAACAGTATATAATGACACACAAAGCCTCCTAGACTTTAAGGGAACAGTACATATATATTTTTAAGGACAAGGTTAATGCAGGGAATTCTAGGACAGAGAATGGCTGACTGAAACTTTTCTCCTTTGCTTCCCTCTCAAATTAATTTAGACACAGGGAACTGTGCCAATATGAAAGAAATAAAGGAACACACAGGCATACTTGATGAACAGGCCACTAAGACGTTTTGGAAGCACACAAATGGTATAAATACAAAATGCCAGATGCTGAAAGCAACGTGGGGAAGGGCAGGAATGTCTTACTCCCTTTGCAGTATGCAAAGGCACACAGACACAAACAGGTGACCAAGGACACCACGAGACAGGAGGTGCTTAAGTAAGATCACAGTGAGGAAGGACACTCTGTGGACAACTGTAACAAAGCTTGGACTATATAATGCGCAGCACAAAATGAAGCAGCAGTGGGCACATGTCCGTTTCACAAGGAACGTGCCACTTGTCCTCACGCAGCCTTGCAGGTGTCTCCTTCACCTGCCTTAGTGGAGGGAACGTGATGTTTGGGTGCCCAGAGGTTTGCCGTGGACATCAACAGCCAGTGTCTCTTGTTGGTGCCACCTTTCTAACCACCTTTCAGCTGGCCCCGTCCTCTCCACTACTACTGCCAGGCGTTCTCAGTGCGGAGCCTCAGCCTCATCTTCATGGGGGCTCCTGCTCTGCCCACCTCCAGCCTATCACTCAACTGCCAAGAAACATCCTAAAATTAAACAGGACCTTGCAGCTCATCTGCTCATAACCTGTCTACAGCACACTGAGTCTTCAGGATCAAGTTCAGACTCCTAACCTTAGCCTGCCAGTCATACTTGGGCATCTGCAGTCTGGACCCTGCCATTTCTCCAGCCTTGCCTTTCCTGTCATTCTCCAGGAACCTGACTTTCTGGTCTTCCTGATGACATGCGATGCCTTGGTAAGCCACCAGGTCGGAAAACCTTGCAGGACCTATTCTCTATGCCTGAAGGGCTGGGCATCTTCATTCACTCTTCCAGATTCAAGGAGAGTGAATGAATATAAATATATAGGTTAGGAGAGAAGAAAGCAATAATCTGCTAAAGAACTGATCTGTGCTGGAAGGCAAACTTCTAATTTGAAGACTCAGCCTTTTGTTTGACTCTTGCTCCTTTGCCCCAGCTGGAGTGCGCTAGCATCATCACTCACTGCAACCTCAACTCCTGAGCCTTCTGCCTGACCCCCTGAATAGCAGGCACTACAGGCATGTGCCACCACACCTGGCTAATTTTTCTACTTTTGGTAGAGATGGGGTCTCACTCTTGCTCAGCCTGGTCTCAAACTCCTGGGCCTCAAGCAACTGTCCTACCTTGGCCTCCCAAAGTGTGGGATTACAGGCAGGAGGCACCGCACACTGGCTAACCAACCCAGACTATTTTAACAAGAAACCTCTGTCTCCCATTCAATTTAAATATGTGAAATAAATGTAATTAGGAAGTAAGAGAAAAGGATCCATGCCTGCACCTTCACTGAGTTTTCCAAGGGACCACACGTGTTGGCTTGAAGGGCCTCCTCTTGGAGAATGGCTCTGTATAGTCAGAGAAGGACTGGGAACAAAGGCCGTCATTTCCTTCGCTTGCCACTCAGAGTCCATTCTTTTCCTGAGGCAGCAATCCTTAAATTTTACTTTAGGGGAAGCAGCTCTATGTTCTCTGGGCCGCAGGTGATGTTCACTCCACCCCAGACTTTCCCAGCGACCCTGGCCACCGACAGGTTCAGAGATGCCCAGAGCCGGCACACAAGATCAAGGAGACAAGCCCAGGCTTGGGCCTGAGCAGAGCCCTGTGCAGGAAGAGGTCGGCTCTGACGGTGCTGAGCTCAGTCGTGGAACCACCAAAGAGGAGGCTGAACTGGGAAATGAACCCTGACTCTAGGCCTGGACGTTTTTAGTTGCATGACCTAACAGATGACTTTTTTATTTAAGCCTGTTTGGACTGGATTTTCTGCCACCTGCAACAGAGAGTACTAACAATTCTCTTTATGCTCAATATGTTTACCTTAAAACAACTACCATCACTTGACACTTACCTCCTCAATTTTGTCATCGATTTCAGGAAACCACTTGGAGGTTTCCCTCCAAGGGAAAGGCTCCTGATGGCAGGGCAGTCAGGAAACAGTGGGGTTTGCTCCTCTTGTTGGTGCAGAGTGAACCCGTGCCAACTCGCTGGGTGTTGAGAGCTGAGTTGAGGTGCAGTGGCCATGGTGTTAGGAATGTTTTCTGCCACGATGTTAGGTATGTTTTCTGCTGCTGGTGGGGCTGGAGTAGAAACCGTGCTGCAGAGATCAGAAAATTAGAGACTCTTACAAACACAGCATATGAAAATTCACAGTCACAATATACCACTGATATGCAGTGGTGCAAATCAGGTATAATCAATCCAGATCCAAGGGGTATTTCACAGAACTTAGGAGTAATAGGTAAGATAAGGTAAAGGGTAGCAGAAGAATAGGATATAATGAGACAAAGCCTCTAGGAGTTTAAGGGTATAGTACATATATATTTTTAAGAACCAGGTTAATGCCAGGAAATTCTAGGACAGAGAATGGCTAGCTCTAGCTTTTCCCCTTTGCTTTCCTATCAAACTGCTTACACACAGGGAAC